AATGAATCATTCTGGCACCGTCTAGTTTACTAATGAGGCTCTGAGGAATGCTGTTGATCAGAACAGGACCCTCTGGCCTTTTATGATGGAAATGTGGCGATACATTACCAGTCCCAACCAGAGAAACCCACCCCCTGTCCTCCGTTCCTCCAAGTGAGTGAGTGAGTGAAACAGTTGACAGCCGCGTAGCGCCGTGCAACAGTGACTTTTACAAATCTAAGAGTGATGTGACCCAAATGTTTCCTTTAACAGAGATTGTGTAGTCTGATGATGATGAAGACGAGGCCCCCTGACTAAATAAAGTCTTAGCCTATTCATGTGTTGTTGTGGTCGGGCTTTGTGTGTTTTGTTTGGGATCTGTGTGTGTGTGTGTTGCCAAAATCTACTCCTTGAGACGTCTGCTTCAGCATAACTGACCAAAAAGGTGATTTTGAGTTTGGCTTTGGAAAGCAAGCCACCACTTATGTCTCTATTTTAGGCCCTTTCATCTGTAATTTGTAAAAAGCCGCAATCTCCACTTTCTGTGAAGAGATCAAATATTCAAAGTAGAGTGTTGTCCGAGCACTCATCATTGTGGCCAGTGTGATCCCACTGAAAGTTGTTCTCTTGTTTAACCTATAAGTGATCGCCAATCACTTACCATAAATTTTTGGAGTTGTTTTGGAGTAGATTTGGCCACTCCTGCCAACATTCACTGCTGTTCCAAGTTTTCTCCAATTGTGGATAATGGGCATTCCCTGGTTCTTTGGACTTTCAAAGCCAAATGGCTTGTAACTCGTTCCAGACTGATAGTTGTCAACAAGTTTCTTTCTCATCTGTTCGCAAGTTTCTTTAGATTGTGACATTACGTGTTGCTTTCTGAGGTCTTTTAGCCCGCAGACAGGTGTGTGTTTAAATCTTAATATAAAACTGCACTGTGTATTTATTCAACTTATGTTCTATTAACAGAATTTGTTTGTTGATCTCATCGATCACTGCCTCAAAGTAAGTTCACACTTACCTGGTGAAATGTCATCTGTTGGGTTGGCACAGAATTTGTTGTGGACATTCATATTTCTCAGATGATGTATTTTTGTCACTCTTAGATTAGCTTTACAGCCAAACAAACAAGCAAGGTTTTGTGAGGTTTCCATTGTGGCTGGTCTAATTCCCTTTAAGTGTCAGCAGCTGATGTCACTACCTGCAGGTTAGCATTATTTACTCACTCAAAACTGCTGACAGGATTTTTGATGGCATTGTTCCATTACACCTGTAAACTACATAGGCAGACAAATTGATGGACCAAAGCAAACATTGTCCGAAAGGCGTGAATCAAAAAGGCTCAAAGTTACTTTTTGTATTGCAATTTGTATTTTATTTCATGACTTTATAGATTTAGAGAAACTGGAAACATGGGCGGAAAAGTGGAGTCTATGACATTCAAATAATGTTCCCCATCTGAGAACTGAGCCGTTGAAGTTGTATCCAACTGCAAATGTATTTTCTTAGTTTTCTGCTGTGCATCATTGAAACTAAAATTATTTCAGGTCCTCAGTTATTAACTTACCATGAGATCCTGTCTTCTAACTGTGTACTCTAAACAAATTTTTAATTATTTAAACTCAAACAAATACTCGAGACTAAACAATTTAATTGCATACTTTTGATTTCATGTCAAATTATCATGTAATTGACAAAACTATTTACTATGCATCTCTAATAGAATAATATAAATCAGATGTATCCAGTCTGCTGAACAAACACAATTTGCAAACATGTTCAAAAGGAGAATAATTAGTTAGTTAATATTTTTGTGCATTACCTCTCTTACTTTACTCCTACATTTGCGTATTAATAACCAGTCTATTTCTGCACTGTAAGGTGACCATCGATTTGGAGCTCCACCTCAACAAGAACGTCAAGCTGAAACCTTCCAAAGGACCTGTTGCACACTATGACGTTTACCTCTACAGGATGCCCAACACCAAACCACACATCACCAACGGGCCAAGTCCCCGGACTGTTAATGGCCCCAGCAAAGCTAAAGGTCGAGTTTTAAAGTGGGAGGATGCCCTGTACCCAGCTTCTTCTCCTTGTTCTATCTGTAACCCCATCAGTACTCCCTCTCTGCCAGCCTCCATCACCAATGAGCAACAAGGGTACAGGACATGGATACTTAACCCGTACAACCCCTGATGAACTGGTCCTTGTACATTTCACTGTCATCTTGAAAAAGGTTCTGTGAATGTGCATTTTACATGTTTTTTGGAGTTAATGAAAATCTTTCATTCGGGGAAATTGAAATTCACAAAATAGTGTTTGCTGATCTGCTTCCAAGGTTGGATCAGATTGGATTATTATAACGCAGGGGAGGGCGACAAACTCTGGAGTTCCAAGAATTATAAACTGTCCTCAGCTGAGAAAAGCTAAATGTCTTCTGAAAGGGGGAAAGAGCTTTTGGATATGTATTCGATTATATGCAGTGACATGAATGCAAACATCAAGCAGTGAATAAAATATAGTAACAATATTTAGGGATTTATTTCAGATATGTTTACATTGTTTTGAATATTTATATATTTAAATATTTATATTAAAGTAATTACAGAAGCACAAAAAATAAAACTTTAAAGTCTCTTTAAAGTTTACAGCTACACTGCATTGTGCTATTTACTGTTTTTCTTGGGAACACTTCAGGGACGATGGGAATCAGACCAGTGACCTTCTGATGGTCTCAATCCACAAAGGCTGCCGACAACCTTCACAGAGGCAGAAACTTGTATTTATTTATTTATTTGTATTTGCGTCAGTCCTCAAACAGTTACGCCAGACCAAATGGTCATTTCACCAAACAAGTCATTTAAAACTTACTGGATTTTTTTGTATTACTCCTCTCACTTGATGACTAATTACTGGACTAAATCAATTTTTTTTTAAATCTTGCTTATTATTTAAGTGGTTAAGATGTTCGAGCTGGTGTGTCCAGAGAACCGGTGAAAATGAATATAAAACACTGAAAAGAGCTTTGTTTAAACTGCTAAACTGTTAAGTGTTAAAGTACACTATCTTTTTCACTTATTTCAAAACTACACGACTTAAAAATAAGTAATATTCAAATGTATTGTTAAAGGCACGCAGTTAGGAAGCCATCACTTATTATCCATGTAAGTTTTGAGGCCTTCTTAAGCTCAATGTTTTGTTTCTCTGCCCGCAGCTTTACTGTTTCGGTTGTCTCGCTGCTCTCATTACATCATGTTTGGCCACAGCAGGCAGCTGTTCTCAAAGAGAAAAACTCAGCTGAACCAATTTCAAAAGTAGCAGACAGACAACCCCATTTAACCCCTAGCTGGTGAATAACTCAGGGCATCTGCAGCTGAAATAGAGACAAATGAAAAGAAAAACTGAACCCTTGAACCACTTGTCCGGGAGGTATATTTTTCTGCGGTATTTTGTTGCCAAGGCTCACATCGCTGCAAACCAATACAAAATTTGTTCTCAGTGATCACCTTCATCCTATCATTAAATCAATGCTTCTATCCTGAAGGAAGCAGTCTGCCACCATCCTCAGGGCACAAGGGGTCACTGAATGGTGAAAATGATGTGGCTCATATGGTGTGGACTTTACAGTCACCAGATCTCAACGAAGCTGAACATCTATGGGATGTTTGGAAATTCCATGTCAGACACTGCTGTTCACCACCACTATCAAAACACCAAATGAGGGAAAAAATTGTGTTCATCCCTCCAGTGGAGATCTTTGACTTAAAAGCTCAGTGTTCATGTGGACTGAAGCAATTTTGCTTTAATGTTTTTTCCTTTTCTTTATTTCAAGTTAGTGAAAACCAAAGAAACTTTAGATATTCATCATCTGGACACAACATGCGCCTGTATTTCTATTGGATATGTATGTTTGATCTAAATACCTTCAGGCAGTCAGGAAAGAAATTAGTGGAAATAAAAAGAAGTAATTGGAGTAATTGAATAAATTCAGCAAATCAGAATCAAGCAGCTAATGAGCTGTCTGCTTTTGCCAGTAATTTTACAGGCACTGCGATAATGTCATCATGTGCAGTTTCATTGCATTTACTGGAATGATCTCTTTGGTGTTGAGTTGTGTGAGAGTTACACAGTGCCACCTGCTGATTGGAAAAATGTCCGGTGGCTTTAGTTCTGTTTCCCAGTTTAACTAGACCGAGCTGGTTGCTTGAATCGTGAATGTAAGATGGATGACTTGATATACACACACACATTATGTAATCAGGCTTTCTGCATTTCAACACAAACCGTTCCTTAGATCTGGACGGCAACAACATCAAATATAGCAACAAAACTGTATGTTTCACAAAGACTCATCAGCTGACTGATGTCAAAATTTTGGAAACCTCCAGTGCGATGAGAATTGTTGAGGCAGAACAACCCAAAGGTTAATGAGTATTCCCTCAGAAGTGCTTCACCATGAGTAGAATCTGTCATTAAGTTTAAACAGAGCAAGACATAAAATAAAAATGATGAAGAAGGATGTGCTGAGTGATGAATGTGCAGAGATTAAATCTTCAGATCTTTAATTGATTAATAATAAGCCAATACTGATTGACATTCAAGCGGCAAAAGAGATGCAAAATGACCGTTTTAAAAATGCATAGCATGAAATATTTAATTGCAGTTTTTCATTTCACTTTTGTGGGCTGCTAGATATAGATTTCATATCACTGTTGGAACTTATTTAAATGCTAGAATGTCAGAGGAAAAAATGTGTCTCTGGAGATGAAGACTGGAGTGTGCAGGTGCATCTCTGAGGTGAAATTGGTCACTATTACCATGGAATAATAATAATAATAATAATAATAATAATAATAATAATACTTTAACATATATTCCTATATATAACTGTTTTTGTGAAATACTCGGGATGCGTCTACCACCACGTCTATTACCACAGTACCACCAGCATGTGGGGCTGCTTGCACGCGACATTAAGACGGCAACGCCGAAGAAGTTGCCATGTGCTTACGAAGATTGTCTATGAAGACGATGCGCACTAGCTACCACGCTTTCCTGTTTGCTAGCCCGTAGTGGAATTTATTTTTAGTATGATCGTAAGTCAAATATTAAGATTTGCCTTAATATTTGTCTTTATTATAGCTTGAGTGTAATGTGCCAAAATAAAAAAAATTGTGAAAATGATCGAAAAGATTTTCACGGATAAAGGGTCGGAGTGAGACCTCATCTTTGGTTTAAATTTCCAGGCGTTAACAACAAGCAGAAAGCAGCAAGACTGTGGAGAAAAGGTTTTTAATATTTGATTTGTTAAAAATAGAATCGTAAGCCTTTAATTTTATCCCATATATGTACAAAACAGACATGTCGGTTGATTTCTGTTAAAATCTCCTGGTGTGTGTCACTTTGAAACCGTTTAGCTTGTATTATTTACAGTTAGCTTAGCTTCCAAGGTTAGCTATGTTTACAGAGCTCAACAGCATCCTGAACGCCACTCCTGATAGCATCACTCAGGTAAGGAATGCAGTATTTTCAGTCTCACTTTGAACATTACTTTACTTGTAGTCGTGTATTTGTAACGATCTTAAGTGGACTGCAAGTTATTAAGTGCCATAATGCCCATCCTACAGGGGGAATTTATTTTAGTGTCTGACAGACAGAGTGATGCCTCTTTCCTCATTCACCACTTCCTGTCTTTCTACCTGCGAGGTGAGGTGTAACTTGCCACAGTATTGTCATTTTCTATCTGTCTGTTTAACAGCTAATGTGTTTAATCTGCTTCTTTTGGTTTTAGCGCGATGCAAAGTGTGCTTTCTGGGTCTGGTGCAGTCCTTCAGTCACTACAGTGCAATCAGTCAAAGACTGGTGAGTGTTAACTATTATTTTCTGCAAGAAAACATCAAAACCACTGGCATGAAGGGCAATTTCCATCCTTCCCCAGTGAGCCACTGTCATTAAAGACATGATATCTTATTCAAGATCTAAATCTATTTAAACAAGGATCAGCAGCATAATTAAAATGCTTTATTAGTGACACAACAGGAGTCAAATATTTTTTTAAAAAAACTCTTTTTTTTGCGTGAAATGTGTGTTCTCAGGGTGTAAGTTTAACACAGGCAAGGGAAAAGGGTCAGCTGATTTTCCTAGAGGGCCTTAAGGAGTCGCTATCTATTTTGATTCCTCAAGAAACCACAACAGGAAGTCAAGCCATGGACTTCCTCAGGTATAACCGCTGTTCTTACTCATTATAACTTCCATTGCATAATTGTCAAGTATTTAAAAAAACAACAACAACATGTTAACAAAAAAAAAGACAAAAAAAAAAAAAACCTAAACTGACTTTAGGACTAGTCAGACAGCATCACCTCCTTTGTCCCCAGAGATCCTACCGTTGGCCTGCAGAGGCTGTATGAGTTTGTGCGGTCCAGTGTGAGCAGTGATGGTGGTGGGGAGGAAGGGTTGGAAGAGTGGGGCCCTCCCGTTTTGCTGGTGGATGACGTCAGTGTGCTTTTGAGTCTGGGGGTCAGCGCTGGAGCTGCGCTGGACTTCAGCCACTACTGCAGAGCCACAGTCTGCTCTCAGCTACAGGTTAGACCTAAATGCCCTTTCATTAAAAGTCCTCTCCTCAAATTAAACTCAACAGATTCTACAAATACTCTTATAAACATGTCTGCACTGCAGGGGAACATAGTGATGCTGGTACGCTGTCATGGAGAAGAAGCGGAGGATGATGGAAGTGATGAGGGATCAGAGTGGCTCCTCAAGGGCCTGACCCACCAGTGCAGCCTCACTCTTCATGTACAGGGTCTCCCAACTGGCTACTGCAGGGACATACACGGTCAGGTATGTGTGTATGTGGATGCAAATTTTCTAATTCAGACTGAACACATCAGAGACGCAGATCTGCTCATTATCCAGGTGTTTCGATTCAGTTAACAAGTCAAAATCGATTTATTGAGCTTTCTATGTCATAGAGTTACAAATATTTGAACAGAAAGGCTAAAAGATTGTTTTTGGTAACTGTGATTAACATTTTTGCAATTGAGAACATTATTACTGACTAATTTTCTGTTGATTGATTACTTTATTAATCTCATTTTAGCTGTACTTGACAAAATGCATCTAGTGTCTATTTCTTGTCCTTAAACAGTATCAAATTTAGCACAAGGTGCACTGTTGTTTTTCAGGTGGAGGTTTGTTGGAGGAGGAGACGAGGCGATGGGCAGCACACACAGAAGAAGCTTTTTCAGTACAAGGTCCACGATAAAGGAGCCTCCTTCTTTGCTCCTGGGACATCCAGTGCTGTTCTCTAGTTATACCCTTAGACACATTTAGTCTCTTTTACGTGACAACAGACCAACCACTGTTATGTTTTCATGTTGCGCAAATAGCAAATGCTGCCAAAGTGGTTGGTGAATTGGCCATGGCTGGTCACTGCTGTCAGCAAACCGTGTCTGGATCCCAAACCTTGTGATGGAAGGACATTGTGATCCAATTCCAGACATCTGAATCTCCAGAGGATAGAGTTATTATCATGCTGACTCGTGATGTTGTCATTATTTGGTCGATTTCCGTGGACGACTCAACAAAATACTCAGAATGCAGGATTGCTGGTGGTTTGAAAGAATCTTGTTAATGAATAAAATTATTATTCACAGAACAGTTTTGTGGAGCCGTGTTGCCAATGAATGTTAATATAATAAAATCTAATTCATTTTTTCTTATTTAAATGCACACATTTTACAACAACAGTTGTCTCAGGGTACATTACATTGTAAGAAAAACACACAAGTAAAATGTGTTTGGAGAGAAACCAAGCCTACCTCATGAGTAAGCACTTAAAAAAACAGAAAACTCAAATTTTACTGGAAAAATCCTCTGGCAGAAACATACCTAGGAAGGTAATCCACCTCTGAAGGCAGACACCTGGATATAGGTACAGGGGGGAATAGTTAACAATGATTAAAGCCCAAATGAGCCCAAAGAGTAAGAAGAAACAATCGTAATTCAGTCTAATAGTGGTACTTGAATGCCTGGAGTATCCTCAGTGGTCCCCTAAGTACAGAGGGTGTCACTTGAACCCAAAATGGAAAGCTCTCCGTCACATCCTAATTTTTAAAACTTGTAGCTGTGAGGAAAAGTGTTCTGTTGGGATAATATGGAACTACGTGGTCTTCAAAATATGATGGACCTCAGTAATTAAGCGCTGTATAAGTGACAAGAGGATTTAACAGGGAGTCAATGAACAGAATATTAGAGAGTTATGAGCCTCCTTTGTTCATATTAGTACTCTTGATTCCTTCAGCATTTTGGATGAATTGAAAGACCTTCAAAGATATCAGGGCATCCTGATAAGAATTCTTCTGACTACTTCCTTTAGTGTTCAGCACAGTAGATCATCTGCCTCGATCTCACCCTATACCTAGAGTCCTCTCCTGCCACACCAACCCTCTGCTTGTCCTCCTTCACTACATCCATGAATCTTCTCTGTGGTCTCCCTGTTTTGCTCCCTCATCCTTGGAAGCTCCATAGTCAGTATCCCTTGTCCAATATAGCCACTATCCCTCCTCTGTATATGTCCAACACTTCTCAATCTTGTCCCTCTAACTCTGACTACAACCCGATCTGTCTCTCTTATGTACTTATTCCCGGCACCTTCAGCCCTGCTTTCTGTCTTTTTTTAGTGCCACCGTCTCTGGCCCATACATAATAGCAAGTTTCACTATAATAATAAATTATAATGATCTAGCCTAGAAGCCACAGACACGTAAACTCAAACAGGAAATTGGTTCCTAAATTTGCACAGGATGCCTAAAAAGTCGCCATCATATCCACTAGATGTCCCCACTGTAACAGCGTGCAGGTTGAGAGGTCGAAGGGGAGAGGTTTCATTGGGATATGACAGCCAGTAACTGCTGAGACGGTGCGTCTATATGTTGGCGTGTAATGGGATGCATATGCGTTAGCATTTAGTAAAATTTGGAACCGAAGGAATAGAGCGATTGCTTACCAGTTCAACCACGAGGACAACATCAACTACAACAACAACAGCATCATTAGGAGGGACTCTGAAATTTGTCCAGGCAAGTTGAGCTGCGCACTGCTAGCATTAGCTGTGAAACTTAGCTTCGTGTAAGTGTAAAGTATCGGAACTGTTGAATTATTTATTATGTTGGTTACTTAATGTTGCTATGAATGTAGCATTAAAGCTGCCGTCTTCGGGCTCGAATAAGCTCATAACTTAAGTGTGGTACCTTTACATATGAACCCGCAGCATCTCAGAGCGCACTCTAACGACGTGCTAACACCAAGCATGCTACCTGTAGTTTTACTCTATTATGCACCGTTGTTGGAATCAATCTGTGGTACTTTATAAGCGACAGCTGTTTTAATTGAGGTATGTTAACTGTCACATTTTTTTCTTTCTTTTTTAAGCTTAAAGCGTGGGTCCATATTGGGACCCGGGTTTATTTACAGCTAGCAAAGCTAATTGTTTGCTAGCAGGGTTAGCCTGAGCTTCATGACATCGTAAGTTTTTACATAATACATAAAACACATTGATCTATCATCATTATAGCTGTTTGTTCAGCACTTGTTTTCTACTCTTATGTTTAAGGCATTTTAAGTGTTATTTAATGAACCATGGTGAGGTAGCGGTGGATATTATCAGCTAGCCTTTTTTGCACATGCCATTTTACTAATAAAGCTAGATGCTCTCATATGGAATATAAACCTGTCAGGGCAAACGGTGGGATTTAACTTTTCCCTTTGAGGTTTTTAATTGCATGTAAACATAATTTATCATCTGCTTCAGCTCGGTGAGTGGCGTCTTCTCGCTCAATTTGACATTTGTTGGTAGGCAGTTTCTAATGTTAGTTTTTATGAATGAAATTAAGACGTGTACATATTTAAACTGCACTTTCTGATTTCATTCATTAATCCCTGCCGGTTTCTGATTCTTGGTTTGATAATTACTGTGATTACCAGCAGGTGATATTGCAACAGGGTTGCATCATCCTTCTTGCAGTTGTTCATTGTCTTGTGGTGGCTATTTCACAATTCTGGTTGCTTTAATATACCTTAGAGTGTAAAGAAGACTTTAGCAAGTAATTCAGTGCATGTCTATCAATTAACCAAGATATATTTCATTTTTAAAAACTGTATTTTGAGAGAGGTGTTTGTAAGGAAGTAGACCGCCTATTACCCACCATCTGTTATTCAAATGTGGTTACTCATTGACAGGACATTACCCTCTTTTCTCATCCGCGCTGGTTGTAAAAGGCAGCTCATCCATATTGAGCTGCTCTCTGCAATTATAGCAGGACTAATGGTCCTCAGTTATCAGAGGCGCATGCCTCAGAATTATGCAACTATGTCACTGAATTTTGATGCAATTATGCCACAAAGAACGGACACAGCTTAATGCTTGCTGGAATGTTTGTGGGTATTGGTATGGTGCTTGGATTTGCAGCAGTTTATAAGGAAATATTGTTTAAGGAATATACATTCATGGCATGTGTTGAAAAGAGGTAAGCTTTGCTTTTCGAAATTTTATTGATAATTTGCATCTATAAACTCCATGCACCATTTTTCTCATAGCAGCAGTCTTTTAGCTTTGTGCTTTTTGACAAAGTCTTACCTTAGTTTTAATCTGAAAGGTCCTCTAAAGAGGTCCACAATGATCTCCTTAACTGAATTTGCACTTGCAATGTGAAATGCTGTGTTTTGTGAGTAAATGTGCTGGGTTTTCATGTAAGATACATACAAGCTGTTCTTTGTTAGATTATTTGTTTAGCACATACTCTCAAATGCACATGGTTATTCATTCAGCTGAGACTTTTTCCCTCACTTAGTCAGGAAATATTATTTGTGTTATATAATATATATTGTTTTTAATGTACTACAGCCATAGACGATGGTGTTCCCTAACAAACACAATCTTGTGATACAGAATAGGATTTCTGAATAATTGCTGGTCACTTGCCAAAAATGGCTAAAGATAAGTGAAAGGCTACTCCTTACCAGCACTTGACCTGTGACTGGTGTTAATATATCTGCCCTAGTTGTTAAGTTTTACTTGTCAAGCCTCTCTCAAATACACCATGCTTTTGAGATAGTGAATGTCTTGTCTTGCTGTAACTGGCATAATAGTACGCTGGCCGGGTTTGGCCAGAGGAGGAGGGAGATGATGGGGGATGGCTACAGGTCCTGAGCCCTGCTCGCTGAGTTTCCGATCAGCTCAATCCGGGATTAGTTCACTGACGGAGATGGTGCTGACCCTTTGCCAAATCGGGCCTTACAGCTACACCCACTTACCCTGCTGGACAAACAACTGAGAGATGGAGGCATTCATTGAAAATTTTCCCTGGCAAGACGGCCCCTGGAACCAGGACCAGGTTGAGAGCAGAAAGTCATTACTTCAAAATCTGCCTTTAACGTTTGCTGCACCTATTGTGCAAGGTTACTAGGACATTGCTGTGTTTACTGTATGGAGTATTTATAACAGCAGATCAAGAGACTCCTGAGGCAAATTCCTCCCGGGGAATGTTTCCGCTGTTCTCGGGGGGACAAGCGGAGCAATTACACAGTCTGTCTGAGTCGAGGAGGGAGCACTGTGTTAACCACAAAGCGCACGTAAAGCTAAAAAAACCCACCGTTTCTGCTTTCAGGGGACTTCAGCGGGTGCAAGCCAGAGAGATAAACTGGTCTCCCATTGGCAGGTATGCTCTTAGAACAGCCTAACTTGTCTAACAACACTGTTTGGTTAACAGTTTCATGCTGCTTATTGACACGATTTTAGAAGCTGAGGTGAGAGCGGGCGGATTAAGATACTGAACAAATCCAGCTGCTGTATGTGTGCCAGGAAACCCAGTTAAATATTGTAATAGAGCAGTGTTTACACTGATAGGCAGCTCTGAACGTGCCTACTGAGTAAACAGGGAAACAAGAAATGAGATTGGAGGTCAATTTGGTGATTGCGTTTGTTGTTAAGCGAACCACCTTTACGTCAAAGAGTTCAGTTTTTCCACCTGAGTTGACATCAGTGTTCAAGCACAGTCATGTTAGGGGGGGATCAGGCTGGAGAAATCAAATGTTGAATTCAGATAAGTCACATCAAACTCAAGCAGTTAGTCTGGCAGTTTACTTCATTCCAAGGCGAAGTTTATCATCCTAACATTAACATTTCTTTATTTGAACGATGGTCAATTTCCGCACGTTGTTGTCATGATTGTGATTATTATTGTATAGATGGGATGCCAATCAGAGTTAAGAGTATGTTAACCTGTTGGTTGGTTGATTGACAAATTATCAGTGCATGGTGTCAGTTAAAAATATTTTTTTTGTGTACTTGTACATATCTCTGTCGATACTCATATAATGTGTATAAAATGTGCACCTATGCCAGAGAACAATTCTTCAGTTCCTATAATATGGATGAAAGAATCTGGTCTACACAACTATCTAACTTTTAAATTTCAATCGATGGAAATAGCTAAACAGGTTTGCTGGTTTCTTTTAGCTGTTTCCTTTATACCATATGGCACATAGTATGTGTGCTGTACCATGGCTGGATAAATTGGGATCATCAATCACCTTGAGGCGACTTTTGTCGTGATTTGGCGCTATATAAATAAAATTGAATTGAATCAAAGTTACCTAAAAGTTCAGCTACTAGAATTCATTAGCATCAATAATGAGTATACAGGACTGTTGTATTCAGAGTTTCGGGGCATCCTGTTGTATGAAAAGCATGTTGTTCTGTTTATAGCTATGGAAATATTAGGACTGGCTCAAAGGATGATTCATGTTGGAAGACTGCTAAGAAGTTCAGCAGTCAGATATGTGTTCCATTTGCTTTCTCTGTCCAAAGGTCGAAAGATATTTAGGTGGTGACTAATGATTAATGACTTGATGAATTCGTCTTCTACAAATAGCTTTTCAGTACCTGTGTTGTTTTTGTTATCATTATTTTATTTTTTTATTTCTTTAAATAGTTAAACATTACCCTCTTCCATTTTCACCATCATATCCTCCTGTGCATTATTATTTAAATGTAACTTTACAGGAAATTTCTGAGAAACAGTTGTTTCAGGGAACGTGGAGGTTGTAATTTTCCCCAGGTGTGACCAGTAAAGCATGCATGTTTCACTGCTGTACCGCAGTTGGATATTTTCCACCGTGGGGAATGTGTCCACACCTTTTGGGCTACTGAATGAGTCGTGTGTTTAAGTGCTATGCAGCATGTGACCACAGTATGAGCTGGTTTGAACGAAAAAAACAAAACAAAAAAAACACTGTGCCTTTAGTTAGCAGTAAGAATGACACCACAAGATGTGTGTAACAAATTAGTTTTCCAGGACAGAGCTTCTCAGTAATAGAGCTGACGTCTGTTTCTGTGTGTTAGTCTGTGGAGATGCACTACACGATTTGTTCTGATAAGAGAGGGATGACAATATTTATAAAACTTGCCTCTGTGCTGCTATTTTGTTCCACATGTGCTTACGTCTAAACAGAGATAACTGTGCCAGTTATTTAAAAATATGAAAACTGTTTTTGTAATACATTTTTATAAGATTGGATTATATAGACTCAGTTTGTCAGCAATTTCAGTATTTTAAAAGTACAATCTATTTTCTCTGGAAGGAATTTATGCTTTTCTTAGATTAAAATATATTAAAAAAAAGTATTATAATTTGGGATATCACATGTTATATGTCTGAAAAGGAAATATGTCTGTATGTATGCAAATAATTATTTATCAGTTATAAAACAGGATTTCACTCAGTTTCACTGTCTGATGAATCTCCATAACAAGTTTAGTCTTAAATATAAAGTCTTCCCCTCGTCTCTTCCCTTCCCCTTTCTCTGAACTCTCAGATCTCATAGGAGTATAGAAGACATTTTTTCCCCCTAGAAAATCATTAAGTGACTTAATTATTATACCAGATTTCCCTCTGGATTAAAAGTTTTAAAATGAATAATTTTATAGTCAAAATTATCCCCTGAGTTTTGGCTTTAAAATGTGTGAAATTAAATATTCATTCGGTGAATCTATTGACTCGCTTGCACTCGTAGGTCCCTGGATGCCCCGTGGCGAACTGTCCTCGGCCGCCCAGTTCTTCCCAATGGCCGGGAGTTGACCAAGCCCACCAAGATGACGCTGCGCGAGCAGCTGAGAGAGAAGATTTCGGCGGCCTTCTACCGCCACGGGCTGCTGTGTGCCTCCTATCCAGTACCCATCATCCTCTTCACCTCGGCCAGCATCCTCACCTGCTGGTAGGTATTGAGTGTAATATAAGTCAGCGGTCTTATATTACAAAAAAAAAAGATTTATTCATAACACACGTGAAAAGACCCAGGAAAACAGAGTTAACGATAAAAACGATAACAAAAAACCCTGAAAACCATACATTTCACACCTGAGCCTCTACTCTCGCGGCCCGGTACCAAACGACTCATGGACCGGTCCGAGGCCCGGGGGTTGGGGACCGCTGATATAAGTAATTTGAGCATACAGGGAACAGTTTCAGTAATATGGATTTCTTTTTAACTTTGAAAAACTGACAAGCTGGCATTTACACCTACGTGTTATACTGATGAGTTCATTGTGGAGCATCTACTCCTGTTCTTGTTCTTGTAAACAACCAAGTACGTTAATGGTGAAACTGTCTGATTATGCTCACTCTTATTCCTTATTAAGATACACCTTCCCCCTCCTCAGATTCACTTTTTACCTTCCCAGAGAGTGTGGTTGTGTTGAACAGTTGTACTGTGACCAGCTAGTTGACCACCTATGCAGCGTTCAGAAAACTGCTTTTGAAACACTGTCCAGGGCTGCCACGATTAGTCGACTAGTCACGATTACGTCGACGACTAATTTAATAGTTGACGCATCGTTTGAAGCTTTGTAAGATCCCGAAAGATGCAGGAATAAGTAGTAGGATTTAAGAGTGTAATAACGGACTGAAACAGATGGTGGCAGCACTTTATGTACAAGCTGCCGTTAAA